TACTTATAATAAATACTATTTAAATATGTTAGCTAAAAATGATAATATCAATAACTTTAATTTTAAAAATACTCTTTAAAATACTTTCACTAAAACTACTAATCTATATACTTTTGCCCAAATAATAGCATATTTTGATATTATGCAATTCTTCAATACTCTAATTTTTGAACTTTATTTTAAATACTACCAATCTTATTTATCACAAATAATGCAATATATTTCTAAAAAACTTAATATATCAAAAATTTTTACAAATCTTTTTTTTTCTTAATTTAAAGTATCAGAAATACTAAACTTTCTTTTTTTTTTAAATTCTTAACTAGTATTTTTTCTTTTTTTTTTTTTTTAAAAAAAAAAAATTCTTTAAAATTTGATTTTAAATAATAACAATATTAACTTTATTTTATATTTATAATATAATTATTATATCAACTAAATTTTTTTTTTTCGGTATTAAGATAACCTCTTTGGTCTGAGCTTTTTATTAATACTTATAGCAAGTACATGTTTTATATAGATATATCTATAATAAACTATTAGATGAGTATACAACTGGCTACACATGTAACTTTTCTATATTACTTATTTAAGAAGTCTGCCTGAGAGTTCCTTATCAGTTGCTGTATCTAACACTCCTGCTTAGATGTTTTATTTAAACCCTCTGATCTAACCCTAGTATTAATTTCATCAGATTACAGACCCAGATCTATTCATATTCAACTATAGAACTATAGTTCTTATACTATTTTTATCCTTGAGGTAAACCTACCAAAGCAAGCCATATTCCCTTTTACTGCTAACCTGGTTTGATGCTATAGCCAAGACCAACACTTGCAGTCAGAGTTACCTCTTAAACCGCTATTATCCTTGTAAAGTTCACTCAAACCCTGGTATCTATCTTTCTAACTTCTTCTCTATCATCTCCTACTAGCTGCAACTTGGAATTAACTGACTTCTCAAACTCCCAATCCAGATGGCCTGGTATGGTATACTTATGTATTCTTTTTCTCTAGTGATTCTGGTAGCCTAGTTGGTCATGTGCTTCTTTACATATCTTTGTTATCCAGTTTATTTAACAGTTCTTATGAAGGTATTTCATAGGCTTCTATTAGTCCAATGGCATCATCAAAAGTTTGTACTACCTTTTTACTTAGGATTTCCAAGTAAGTTTCTGTTTTTTTAGTTTTTTAGCCTTCTATGCCTAGTGGTCTTATCATGGGTTTGCATTGAAGTCTTATATAACATCAGTTTTACATTCTACTATGTACATGTACTGTATAACATTACACTTCACATAGATGCCTTAAGCTCCAAATGTCAGGTGGGATCAGACTTGGTGTACCTAAGATTACAGATGCCCAAAACCCAACCAATCAGCAAGAGACAGTTACTGTAATACAGATATAATTTCCAAAATTCATCATCTGTAGGAATTGAACTTTAGACCTGCTACTTGAAGGTTGACAACCTATCTACTTCACTAAGTTATCACACTTCTACTAAAATTTTTTTAATTTTATTATTTTATTTAAAATTAATATATTTATACAAATAACTAACAAGATCTTATATTTATACTAAACAAATTATATATTATCTATACTTTATAGATTCCTTATAAAGTATTTATACAATCTAAATTAAACACATCTAGATTTGTATAAGTATTATAAATCTAGATAGGTTTTGACTACTCTAGTTAGTTTAGATTACAGATAAAATTATCTAAGCTTTAATTCTTGTATGTAGTTTTTATTTTGTACTATACAATCTTAGTATATCTTAATATTTAGTATATTAATATATTGAGAGGTCCTAACTTGGCAAGTCTGTTGCTAATCAAAGGTCAGCTTTGTGTAATGTTCAGATGGCTTTTAGTTGAAAGAGGTATGTAGATTTGGCGAGTAATTTTGATTCAGGTCTGGCTTATTCTAGATAGTCTACACTACATTAAGACTATTACTCTAACTTTTCTAATATTGTAGTATTCCTCACTATGTTAGGAATTACTGACAATCAGGTTGGGATTTACTACTATTCCGAGTTAGGTTTATTTTTTGACAATGGTTCTCTACAGTTACTCATAGATGAACCTTTTATTCGATTTATTTCAGGTAAGGTAGGAGAATCTGTCCTATTACTTGGATGAAACTACATGTTATTTATAACTAATTCTCTATTTATTTTTAGAATGTCAATAATTATTATAATGATTATAATGATTATAGTGCTTATATCATATATAATAATTATAATCAATATATGCAATATACACATTATAATTATTATATGCATAGTTATCCCAAATATAGCAAGAGATCTTCATACTCCAGGAAGGTGTAACTTGAGGTCAAATAGCAATAATCCATGATGAAATCAGCTACTTGTGGATCACAGGTTTTGGGTCTAACAATATATAACAAAAATTACTAATAAAGATATGAGCAAAGCCTTATCTTAATATCAAAAAAAAATAAATAAACCTATTTTAACAAATTTTAATATAAATTTAATAATTGTATTATAATTAGACTTATAAAAATTTGTTTTATAATTTTATTTTTTTTAAATATTAACAGTAAAGCATATTTTTAACTTTATTAAAATTCAATTGAAGTTTTTACAAAGAAAAGCTTGCTTTTAAATTACATATGAAGAATAAAGACTCAGATATATAATCTGTGACCTAAACTTACAAGAGTGGCCAAGGCTCATCTAGATTTGGATGTTAGTAATAATATATAAAAGAGAAGTATGATATTTAATCTATTAGATAGTTCAAAAATCAATTTTAGTAATAATTTGTAATATTGAAATAAAAGATAATAATAGACTAGAAAGAGAATTATAAGTTGAGTTTGTAGAAGATGTAATTGAAGACTGTGCTGAATGTGAAATACAATATAGGATCTATAATTGTTTATATATTTGTTGGTTTAGATAAAGAAGAAATTTAATAAAAAGAGAGGTAGCTATACAATAAGGAATAGAAGTATTATGAATAATAGAAACAAGGTTGATAGTGATATTTTATAATTTTACTTAAAAGTTTAAAAGCAATTAAGTTAGTAAAAATATTTTTAAATACCAAAATAAAAAAATTTACAATTAAAGTTATATAACAAGTAACTTATATATACCTTATTTTTAAAAAAATAGAAATAAATAAACATATATATTGTTACAGAGTTGTAGCCTTCTTGGTACAATACAACTAAGTAATAAGATCACCCAATACAGTGATTAACTATTGCAAATATATACAAGATAAAGGTGTAATAGTTCACTTTACTATACAGTAATAGGTAAATGGTTCAAGATAGTAACAGTATATAGATTAACTTTATTTAATAAACATATAGTGACAACCTTGCTTGTAGAAATTATTATAAAGAAGAAATATCACTTTTACAAGTTAGAAGTAAAGGTAAAAAGGTCTAGGTTGAAATATAAAGACTTAGAATTGGCAGGAAAGAATAAAAGATATTCTTTATATGCATTTACTAATTTTCTCTCTAAGTTTCTATTGGTCATATGCAAATCACATTTTTGATTAGACAAAATCGAAGATTCTTAATAATATGACATTGTCAACCAATTAAATTGTACTTTTTTTTGTTATCAGATTTACTTATTCTTGTTATTGCCTCATTATTATTTGTGCATCTTATGATTAAAACTAGTATAAACTAAATAACTTTAGTAAGAATACAAAAATTTGTGATTTTTTGAATTATAATATTAAGATTCGAGAAAAAAAGTAAATAGCAAATTATTACACTATTGTGTATATATACATATCAAATATATACTTAGAAATTGAATTGTATTAGTATGTACAAAAATATGTATATACTTGTTATTATTGATTAAATACTAAAATATAAATAATATGTAAAAATAAACAATTAAGCAAAACTTAAGTTATTTATACTTATATATTATTGAATTTTTAAATTTATTTTATTAATATGAATTAAAATTTAAGCAATACAAAAATTAAAATAATTTTCTTAATAGTATCTAATAAATAATTTCAATTTAGCATCCAGCTATATATATTCATCAAGAAAACCTTAACTAGTTGCTATTTATATATATATAAATTCAAAATACAGTAAATTAATAATAATAATATTCTGATTTATTGAAAATTAGCAGAAATGAAGTTTCTACTTATTCACATATGTGATCAGAGTATTATTTATTAATCCTTTATGATTTTGATATAGTGATTAGGATTAGTAATGTTTTTATATATGCTTATTTCGATCTTTCAAATCTATTATCAATAATTTGATTTTTAAAATACACAACTGCAAAACTATATATTTCATACCTCTGCAGTTGCATGCATTAATATAGTATAGTTTTTGTAAATTTGGCAAATAATGTGAATAATGAGAATATGGCAACAAGGACTTAATTAACTTAGTAAAGAAAATAAACTAATAATTAAAATTTTATCTATATGCAAAGTTGGAAATAATAACTTAATAGAAGTAATAGACTAAAATAAATTACAATTAAACAATATATTAAAGAGTAAGTTTTTTATTCAAGCTGTAAAATAAATCTTTAGATTTATTTCTATTTATTTATTTTTTATTTATTTATTTTTATTTATTTATTTATTTATTTTTTTATTTATTTATTTTGTTTTTATAAGCTTTCCTCTGCTATCTTGAAGGTTCTAAACACCATTCCTATTTATTTAATAAAATTTTTATTAATTGCATTTTTTTTTAAACCAATTTAATAAATAAATTATAATATAATACTTCTCTTAGCCCAAATCACCTTCATAAATTTTTGCATTAATTATTGCATAATAGTAAAACTATTGCTAACTTATATATCTATAATCTACTGTACTAACTTTTCTTGATATAATGTTTTCTTATTCTCTATTCAGAAAATTAATTTAAGATTTGTAAATCTTTTGTGGATATTGTTATTTTTATCTTTTTTTTTTTATCATATACCTTGTCATTATAATGTTATTACTAAATATCAATGTGAATTTTAATATTGAAGAACATATAGATATTAGCAATGGCAATGATAATGAACTTAATAATATGTTTAACAGAATTCTTGATACAACAAATGGTGCTGATCAGATGTAAAAGACAAAAGATGATGACAACACACTAAAAAAAAGGTTATTAGAAACAAAAAAAATCTAAAACTTATTATCTCCTAGTTGAAAAATATGTAGAATAGATTAAAAGTCTTGAGAAAGCAGAACTTAGCTATAATAGACATAATTACCATGCACAAATTAGTGCAAGAAAAAAAAATCAATGGTTAGAAAGATGGTATTGTTATCAGTATAGCATATATAATAGTACTGCTAGGAAGGATATCATTAAAAAACCATAATTAGTACAAAAAGAATCAAAATAATATGATTGCAAGAGTTATATTTATATTACACTTTCTGTAGGTTTAACAACAATGGCTTTACACCACTATTATAAACATATCAATTACTATCTGAGTCAAATATCAGATTTATGTACTCTTCTTCTCTCAGAAAACATTAGACAGTTTATTTGCCAACATGCACTTGAAGAAATTGATGCTTTTAGTATTCATTAGCTCTTGCATTTTTTAGCAGTTAAGCTTCAGAACCAAGTTTAGTCATTAAAAACAAAGCAACAAAATACATCTTTACAAAATATTTAAGAGTTATGAAATGAATTAGTAATGAAGAAAAACATATATGCAATAGTGCATGATGCAATAAAAACATGCACTTATCTTAATAAAGATGAAATAAAGTCTCTAAATAAATAAAATGATAAAATAGTTAGCATAGGCAGGTGTTGCTTATTCAAATATAACAATTCAAAGCACTGTTCATATAAAACTAATATAGAATTCCTATTTGCCTTTCAAATAAAAAAATAAAAAGAATTAATGCAATATTTTAAGTAATATGTTTGGATGGCATATATGGAATGAATAAGTATAGTTATTATCTTTTTATATTTATTATATGACATCTTATGACTGAAAGTGAATATTCTATTGCATTTCTAATTAATAAATATAAAAAATCATTAATATTAAAAAAATAGTTTAGTTTTTTAAAACTCAAAAATAATGAATAGAACCCAGATATTTTTATAATTAATGATGCAGATAAAGAAATAAAGACAGTCAAAAAAAGTTTTTCAAATAGCACTATGCTGTTATGTTATTTTTACATATTAAGATCCTGGTGCAGAAAGTTAAATTACAATTCTAGTATAAATATTGATCAATATAAAGCTGCTATTTGGAAAGATCTTTGGCACTTAATGAAGTCAAAAGGATAAAATAATGCAAAGGCAAGAAAACAAGTTATCAAAACTATTAACAGTTCGTGAAAATTTAATATAAGAACCATAAACACCTTTGCTGATTATTTTGAGCATTAGCAAAAACCAAAATATAACAAATAGATAGTATGCTTAAGAAAGATTTTCTAAGATATAATTGATACAAATAACTTGATGAAAACATTCTATCATAAACTAAAATATGTTTATATAAGAGGGTGACCAGGACAGTAACTTAATAAAAAAATATATTTACTTGTAAAGATTGTTCTTCAGAACTTGGAGTTTTTAATGTTTATAGATGAATTAAAAGTTAGAAGAATGAATCCACGAAGATGTTAGCAACAAATTCAAGAAATTGCTGGAATAATACAAATTAATCCAAATAATATTTACAGTATCAGACCTGATGTTTGATTTGTACATTCTATGACAAATAATAATGTGGAATACTTTGTCTAAAGAAAAGAATCTATGGTTAAAAACAATGATAATTTAGACATATTCTTATATATCTGCAATTGCCATGATTTCAAAATATTGCAATTGCAATATAACTATATTTTTGCTATATTTAGTAGGCTTTATACTAATGTTGATAGTATAAAAGAAAGTAGCCATGATCACAGTTACCTTATACTGCAATCTGATAATCTTATTGTAGAAAAACATCCTAATTCTCCTACCTCAATAGAACCTTTAGGTAATAAAAATTTAAAATTTACAAAATTACAGAAAGCTCACATTAATTGCTAAAGCATGAAAAGGAAAAAGAAGCTAGAATATCTGCAGTTTATAATTAACACTTAGGCAAGCTAATCAAATGAAGAAGATAAAAGTTGCAAGATTTAATGCCATAAATGCAGTAGTTAGTAACAACATGTTAAAAAAGTCTAATACAGCATCAAATATAAGTATCAAAAACAGTATAGATATTAAATATATTGTACAATAAATATACAATATTAATAAATAAATATAATAAATAAATATAATAAATTACTTACTAATATCAAGCATATTATTCCTTGTTTAATTTTTTCTCATTAAAAAATAAGCCTAATAACTAAAACATATAATATATAATAAAATAAAAGTGACTTAGTACAGATTAAGTTTAAAAAATAAATAAAAGTAATAAATTAAAAATAAAAAATATGAAAAAAAAATTTTTTATATAAAAAAATTACTTAATATAGTACTTAGTTATTATACAAAATTTTTTTTGCCTATAGATTGTATTGTATTGAAGTACTATAGTCAGCATTGTATGGTAATAATAAATAAAAATAAAAAAAACCTCTATCAACAATAACTAAGAGAAGATTGATTAGAGCATCTGGTCTACAAATATTTCTAAGAAATTTTAATAAAATACATACATACAATGCATATTTAATTTATTCTCAAATTAGAAAATATTAATAAAAAATCCTGCTATCTAAAGAAAGAAACACAATCGACTAGTAAAATTAATTCCTAGCTTTTAAAAGAAGACTATATTTCATTATCAGATGCATTCTATAAACTATAAACTTTACTTTAAATAGCTAAATCTATTTTACATCAGTGATGGTTTTCTAATTATAAATATATACCTTTATGTTTTGAAAAGATTAATTAATTGTTTATATAAATCTCAATGAAATAATTATATTAGGAGGTGTGATGACCTAGTGAAGTAGATAGGTTGTTGACCTCCAAGTGGCAAGTCTAGAGTTCAAATCCCAGTGACTATAAAAATTTGCAATTCTTTCTATATTACAGTTAACTGTTTTTTGTAATTAGTTGGAATAAGACATCTGTAATCTGTGTTATACTAGCATAACTGAAAGGTCTAGGCATTTATGCAACATTGTATAAAAGAACACAAACTAGTACCAGATAGTATGAACCCAAGATAAGTTCTTAGATCATGTAAATCACAAAAACTAGATAGAAAGATAGAAGCCTACTTAAAAGACCTAAGTAAAGAGGTAACCTGAACCTTTGATAGTGCTACTGTAAAGACTAGACCTATAAAACAGAGCTAGAACTTGTGAAACTAGGCAAAAAGCTAGCCTTTGATAAGAGGCCAAATGGAACCAACCAGGCTATTAGGATCCATTCTAGAAGAAAAGATTATATGCTAGCAAATATGTAAACCAGAGATGTATAGTTATAATCTGCTTTTTTGGACTATTTGGTTTGGAAGCTTGGTGAAACTTGAATTAAATACTAAAATAGTAGGGATATGTTGTGAAGTTAGTACTAGGATTGGGGTAAACTCTACAAGGGCATAGCAGTTTAATAATATGTTCTAACTACCAGTATTAGTTTTGGTCATAGTAATACTAGGTTAGCTGTAAGAATAAGATACAGAAGATTCTGAAAGGTTTAGTACAAGGTTAAAGGTTCTTTATATAAGTAAACTGCTTTAAAAACTTAGTAGTCATAGTATATTTTTACTAGCATCAACCAGAGTCATTGGTAGGCAAAAGTAGGTAAGTGGATACAAAAACTAAAAAGATTAAATAGGAAACTTACAGGCAGATTTCAGGTATAGCAACTAGTATAAAACCTTTAGGTGAACTACTTAAATTAGATAATAACTAAAGTTGTATAAATGACTAGTTGTATACACTTTCTATAGTTGCTCCTTGTAGTTGTAATGCAACTATTAGCCAAATATACTATCAATAAAATTCTGAGTTACAAGTACTTACCTTAATATTAAAAAAAAAATAATAATAATTATATTGTATAATGCATCTTAATATGAATAATTTGAATTCTGCAGCAATTAATTTATTATGAATTTTAGCAGACAACTTGAAGCAAAAATTACTAAGAGAAAATAGTTTAGATATGCTTGTATATTTCTAATGATACATACAAATTATGCAATAATAAGATAAGTAATTATTAATAAAATTGAATAGTTCAAAAAATAAATAAATACATCTTCTTGTCTTTACTAGCATCTAAAAACAGTTTTATTTTAATATTAAAAGCTATATTTGTAAAATTAGTAACATCTTTACATATAACAAATATTTAATACCTATGGTAAATCTATATAAGGTGATTATGCCTAAACTATTAGGCTCTAACAATAACAATTCAATTAATAGTATTGCTGCCTCTTATGATCTATTACAAGATTACCAAATCCAAATCACAGTTACTTATTAATATCTTCTCTAATTCAAAAAATTAAAAAATCAAAAGGCATTACTATAGTATACTTATTATTTGGAAAGCATATTAGAAAATATGCTATCAGAACAAAGAACTTCCTGTACAAAGCAATTTATCTAATACGTATTATACCACTACAGCTGTCTGAATTTATTATATTTTTCATAAGTAGGAAACTGACAAAATTGATCAAACTACAGAATTAATGTTGCTGAAGATCTACAAATTAAAAGTAAAAGACTATTAAAGGATTGTAAATTAAAAGGCCAATAATTATAGTTTTTAGAATAGCAGAAAAAAAATTCAATACTTTATTTCACATATTTACTTTTAATAAAAATTATATTATATTAACAAAATATTCATGTTTTCTGAATAAATAAACAAATTTACTCTTTTTTGTAATATAAAATATTATGCAAGATTGGGTTGCTTTAGCTATAATCAGTAAGGCAGTTATCATTGAAGAAATATTCTTTTTATCTTAGGCTAGCCAAAGTATAAAATTTAAGATATAATTTGGCTAGTTATTTTTTTATTAAACATAGTTCTTGCATACAAACAACTCTTTAAACTAAACTTAAAAATGCTAAATACCCAAATATCTAATAAATTCTGTATAACAGATAATGCTATTAGAATTTAAATTTAATTAAACAAGCTCTATCTAAATTTTCTAAATTATATCTATTAACAAGTTTTGGGTTTTATATAAAGTTGGTCATACTTGTTGCTTTAAGCATCTATGAGGTTGACTAAATTTTACAAATAAATTTTCAAATTCTTTCAATTTCAATTTCAACTGCTGCTAAATAATCTGGTCTAATTTTTAATTCAGGAATAAATATTGCGAGATTAAATAATAATAAGACTTAATACTAAAATAAAATCACAACTAAAAAAACTTAGAATTTTTTTATTTTCAAAGTACAAATATAATTGGCCATAAATGATCAATTGTCATGTTGTTAAGAATCATTAATTTCATTCAATAAAAATATAATTTATGCATAACCAATAGAAACTTGAAAGAAAAATTAGTAAATGCCTCTTTATATATCTTTTTACCTAGTGGGAATAGTTGATACTATACTC